GCTCTTCTTCCGGGAGGGCGGCCAGTTGCAGGATGTCTCCAACGACTACAAGCAGACGCTGCTGCACTGCGCCGCCATGAGTGGGTCTGCAATGCATTGGCTGCAGTGAGGAGGAGGAGGGATGCGGGAGTCATGATACTGATAATAGCATGCAGAAGGATACTGACAATGCTGATGGTAGTGATTAAGGTGTTGCAGGAACAGGTGGACGATGGTGATGATGGTCATGGTCATCATGACGACGATGACGAAGACAGTAATGATGATTGTAGTAACGATGACGATGATGATGTTGCTGCTGATGACGACAAAGCCGATGATGATGACGATGCTGATGCGGATGCCAGTGATACTGATGGTGATGATAATGATGCTGCGATTGGTGATGATGAAGATGATGCCACAGATGATGAGGTTCGTGATAACGATTATGAGGGAGATACTGATGTCGATGATGGTGGTGATCACGATGCTGATCATGATGATGATGACGATGATGATGACGATGATGACGGTGTTGTTGGTGATGATGATGGCAATGCTGGTGACGATGATGCTGGCCGTGATGCTGATGATGATGATGATGATGCTGGTGATGGTGATGGCGATGGTGGTGGTGACGGTGATGACGATGATGACGATAATGACGGTGTTTGTGGTGATGATGACGATGTTGGTGACGATGCCGATGATGAAGATTATGTTGATGCTGGTGACGATGCCGTTGCTGTTGATGCTGATGATGATGATGGTGGTCATGATGACGCTGATGATGATGCTGCTGATGCTGATGCTGATGCTGATGCTGCTGATGCTGATGCGAATGCTGATGCTCATGCTGCTGATGACGATTAGGATGGTGATAACGATGCTGATGACGAGGCTGGTGATGGTATCGGGTGTTGAGAGTCGTACTGGTGACGGTTCAGCTGATGATGCAGTAAGAGGACGAGGTGAAGGAAGGGTGTTCGGAGTGGACGAACGGAGGGAGGAGCACTATGACGCTGATGAGGATGATTATGGTGACGACCATGGCACTGTCGACGATGGCGATGAGGGGGACGATGCTAATCAGTTATCTGTCGAATGGCCTTCGGCCCATTCCACCACCGTGCCTTGGTTGTGGCTCTGAGGCGTCTTGGATGTATGTTAGGATCTCGTGGAGGCCTCTCGGGGTCCTCCTGGAGGCAGTTTGAAGCCCCTGGGGCTGGTTTGGAGCCTCTTGACGCCACTTTTCTGGGCATCTTAGGAGTCTCTTGGGCCCCTGTGAGGCCCCTTTTGGGGCGCGCTGCCGCTAGATGCGCTCTTGGAAGGCCTTCTCGCGGGGGTCCTGGCAGTTTCGCTGCCCCTGCCCTCCTCCGCGTTCTCGGCCTCCACGGGCTCGTCGGGAGGAGATGTCGAGGACGCAGCTTCCACCAATCTCCAGAGCCATTGTGAGAGCTTCGCCCCAGTAGTAGTGTTCCGCTTGATCGTGTCGACTGTCATGAGCAACAGCTTTAGGCTGTTGGCGAGGGCGTTGGGGTCATTGACATTACCTCCATCTTGTCGGCGAAGTAGTTCCTAACGCCAGTTTTGTTTTTATCCCAACCCTCCTGTGTTGGGTACCCGTTTTGACTAGAGCAGTGTGGTCTCCATTGTCCACCTCTTTCTCCTCCTCCTTCTCCTCCTCCTCTCCTCCTCCTCCTCCTCCTCCTCCTCCTCCTCCTCCTAGCCCCGAGTGGCCCAGAGACAACTTTAGGGGGCGGGCACACTGACATATCGAAAACTCGTTTTTCGCCAACACATGTTTGCAGATGAACGGCCGCGTGCTGGCGAGGTTAAGCATCATGCTACGCGTCCTCGGGTACAATCCAATGTGGGCATCAGGCGACAGACTGGCGGAGATACTGAGTGAATCTCGAAATTATGACCTCGTTTTATTGGCAGGCACTCAGGTAGGCGACGAATTACGTGGAGCACAGGTTTTGCAGCGTCGGCTTGACGGGCGCATGGTGTTCGAAGTACCTCACTCTCCTGCTCCTTTTAGCAATCGTAGTTGTGGGGTACTGATCGCCCTTGGTCCTCGCTATGGTGTCAGGGAAGTGCATCAGGTATGGGGTAGTCCAGAGGGGGCAGCAGGGAGAGCGATGACATTGAGAGTAAAGCACAGCACCATGGACGTCTGCGCAATTAGCCTGTATTTCCCCCCCTAAGCCAGTCAAAAACAACCAGAAACCTTCCTACTTTGGAACAGTTAAGGTGTAGTGTGAATGGCTGGGCAGACTACTGAGTTCTCTCCCTACACGCTGTGTTCCTGTACTTTATAGTGATATCAACGATGGTCTGGGGGAGGAGTGGAGGGATGGAAGATGGCAATGTGTTGCTACTAACGTCGTGGGGGCCCCGACCCGATAGCGTCTTGTGGGAGGGGCAGGGCATCGGCTTCGACAGATCCTTGAGAAGCATCACATGATGGCTGCGAATGCGCGCACGCATGTGGAGCACACCTTTTTCGGGGAGAAGGGCACATCCAGTCGCATCGACTACCTGTGTGTCCCTATGGGTATGGCTGGACTCTTGCACGCTTGTAATCCCTTGAGGGGCCTGGGCGCGAAGTGGCAACCAGTGCGCGGTGCAGCGCCGAGAGATCATCTACCCATCAATCTGAGCATGATCATGAACAAGGGAGGCCCTGTGCTTCCCCAGGAGGAGAGGGCGAGGTGGGACCAGGACAGGATGATGGAGGCGTTACGTACGGGTAAAGGCAGGTGGGCTTTCCTGGAGACGGTGGCGGAGGAAATGAGGAGTATCCAGCCTATTTACCAGAGGGATTGGGCGTCTCCAGATACGATTTTTGGGGCTTTGGAGCAATGCATTGTTTCTGCTGGAAAAAAGCATTTCTTGGGAAGGGCACCTGTTCGGGAGGGCTACAGAGAAGACTGCGAACGCCGTCGGGAGTTACTTCGTCGTCGGGTTTGTCTACGAGGCAGTAAGTGTGAGGCCACAGAGTCGGAGGCCCATGAGATTGGCCTCGAACTCCGCTCTCTTTCCCACCAGCTACAGCTCGACCGTCGTCGAGCTTTGCGCCGCCATCGTGACCGCTTGATGGCAGAGGCGTCTGAGTGTTGGGAGCGTCGGCGTACAGCCGAAGCGATGCGTGCATCGAGGAGGGCGGCCCGTTGTCGTTACGGACCCAAGAAGCGGGACGCCCGACTCGCAGGTTGTACATTACTTTCTGCAGACGAATGGATGAGAGTCTGGCGAGAACCAGGGGCGCAGGGAGGGATGTTGGTGGAGGAGGTGGATTGGGATCAGTTGCGGGCTTCTCGGGAGGAAGAGTCTTATGCTTATGAGTTGGAGGATCCTGAATTGACGGCAATCGTGAAGGAGGATGTGGAGGCCCTTCGTAGGTACTTCTGTTTTGCCCCCAACAGAAAGCAAGTACCCGAACATACAGCACCAGTAGAATTATGGCACATGATATTGTTTCCGAAGTGGAGGGTCCAGAATCGTGCACTAGGATTAGGAGCAGGAGATGAAGCACCCAAAGTTGAGACTTTCTGGTGGATGCTACATGTTGGATTGCGTAAGATCCGTCTTCATCAGTTGGCCCCCCTCTACTGGCACCGCAGTCAGGGAGCGGCACTGGTAAAGAACCCCCAGGCTGGACCCCTAGGACGTCGAGTAGTGCATGTGCTAGCTGCAATCGGTAAATGATGGTTTGCAAAACGATTACGCCCTTCCCCAACTACCTCGGACCATGGATTTGTGACTGGCCGTCGGCGTGAAAACGCTGTTATGATATCACTAAATACATCATAGCGCCTCCGTGCCGCACAGAGGACACATGCAGTCTGCTTGAAGGACATGAGCAACGCATTTGGCAGCAGCAGCTTCGAGTCTATGAAAATCTCTGTCGCTCTACATGCGTCTGACCCCGACGTCGACCTATGTGAACAGCGTTTCTTGGATTCGACGATCTTGCTCCCGACGAATACAGGAGGAGTACTAGTAAAACCACGTCAGGGAGGCACAATGGGAGATCCGTTTATAGTATCGATGTTCGTTTTGACCTTTAAGAGACCAGTGATGAATTGGGAATATGACTTGTTTGAGTGGCATTCTACTTATCGTGATCTTATGGCTCGCTGGGGGGAGTTACAGTCAGACCTCCCCCTCCTCAAGTACGCCGACGACATTAACAAAATTGTGCTGGCAGATCTGGACAGTACCCTTGGAGAATTTCTAGACAAACTTAAGCGTGTGGATGTCTCTCTAAATTCAAAGTTACAACCCTTCGGGCACGGCCAGAATATGTCCAAGCAGGAGTTTCTGTTCCACTTCAGTGCGATTGCACATTCGTGTAAGCAGTATTTGCATGACCATCCCCAGAGTCTGGAGGGCCGTATGCGAGACGACGCGCGTTACCTAGGACCCCGCATCGTATTCAGGGACAGTGCAGCAAGCGAGGTGGGTCGTCGTCTGGCTTCGTCTCGCGCCTCTTTTCACAGTTTGGGGGGAATGTGGTCCCTGGACCTGCCGTGCCGATGGAAAAGAGTCCTGTTTATTGGATTTGCTCAGAACTCTATCTTGAGTGGCATGGAGTCGCGGGTCCTCAGGGGCCACGACTACGACAGGCTGGATCGAGGACTGGCAGCTCTAGGCCGAATTGCGATGCAGGGAAAGGCCTCGACAGCATCGACGGTGCAGGAGGGTGATCACGTCAGATGTTTAACTACCCGGCAGGTTTTATCTTTCTGGAAGTTGGCCCCTAGTGCTGTCGAGCTCCGAGTTCGACGCGTTCGGTTATACCAGAGTTGGGCAAAGAAACCCAAGGAGAACGCCCAAATATTATGTAGTTTGTTTGGGAGCACTTTGATGGGCAATCACCGACCCCAACTTCGATACGGCCAACGTACGAAATTTGCCTCACCCTGGGTATTGCAAGTGAAACGGGATTTGGAGGAGGTGGCGAGGGCGTTGGACAGCGAGGTGGTGGAGGAGGTGGCGAGGGACCTTACCATTCTTAAGGATGAGGAGAGGAGTTCGGATTTCGTGGCACTCGACGTTACGGAGCTTCGGGCACGCATGTTCACGGTCAGCAT